ATGGGAGCACGGTTCTATCGTATGTCCTTCTCCTCTCCTCGAGTTGTCCCTGACCGCTTCCTTTTATAACCGCAAGGAAGGAGCCAGGAGTACATGAGTAAGCTACACGTGGGGCCTACTGCAGTTTTGTCCTGTAGCAGCATGGCGTTGGGAATGGAGATCGGTACTTGTCTGGCGCGCCGTGCTGGTCAGGTTTGAAGTGGTTGAGGTCGTGGGGGTCCTTGTCGATGTCTAGTCAGTATGACTTCCACGGCCGGAGACATGCCATGCTTTGGTGGACTCTTGACCTGGTGGAGTGCCGAGGCCTAGCGGGTTGTAGCTAACCACGCCGAGGCCTGATTTGCCGAGGCCCTAGAGGGAGCAGTTGGGCTTATGCACTGATTCCGAGGCTATAGTGACCTGGTTTAGGTGGAAAAGTGCAGGGCATGGTAAAAAAGGAGATTTGACCGTTGTCCCATCGCTCCTGTTGTTGTACCCTGTCGGTCATGGCTGACGTAGCGGGTGCATTCAGGCGCATTAAATGGATGGGACAGCCTACCAGGGGGATGGTTGAGGCAGAGGCGACGAGGATGCAGGACGAGCCCGACCTCAGCCGAGGCGGAGAAGGAACAGTACGTCCGAGGCCCTGCCGGGGATCTCGGACGAGGCGGAGAACGAGCAGCTTGGCTCTTCTGCGGTTGCTGAGACTATAGGGACTTGGACTTGACCTTCCACGCCGCTTTGTCCTTAGCGCAGGGGTTAGGTAGCACAAGGCAGTACGGGTGTCAGTAAGGAGCATAGTGATGAGCATAGTGGTAGGTAACCCCTGCTGCGCCCGATCCCCTGTCCCGTCGGTCGTTCTGCCTGCACTGTACCCACGTGCAGCTGACGTTTGTGGGAGTGGTTGTGCGCATTAACCCAGACGTGACGTTTTGTCAGAGGAGTTCGGTCGGGACGGAGGTAACGAGGTTGTTTGCCGAGCCCAGCCTCGAGCGAATCAGAGAATTGGCTTCCCGTCTGAGGCCTTTTGGGGCGGGGCCTCGGCGAGAGGGTCTTGGCGAGAGGGCCTCGGTGAGAGGGCCTCGGCGGGGCGGGGAGCTTTTGGCCTTTCGCATGGGGCTTCGGCGCAAGGCCTCGGGCGAATCGGAGAAATCTGCTAAGACCTTGCGGTAGTCTTTCGGCTTTGATTTTTGCAAGGTTTAAGCAATATTTTTTGTTTCTTGCTTAGGGTACCCCTTCTTGCGGTATCCGACACCATGCCCTCCCTTATATACCGAGAGGGCGATGGGGTTACAAAATGGAGGGTTCATCCTAGGGTTTCTCGCACTAGGCTTCGGTCTCATTCTTTATCTTGGCACCACTGGGTCCTTATGTGTCTTATAACTAGGGGCCAACAAAACTGCAACCACTCCCTAGCTGACACCTCTGCTATGGCCTGGTGCTGAAAATCAGGTGTTGTTTGTCATAGTGGTGCCTTCCTAGGTGAGCCTTCTCCTAGCTTCCTTCGCACGCTAGGCTCCTCCCCTTGCCAAGAAGGGCTGCTAGGCGAGCTTGGAGCCCCCACTTCAAGGGCTTCAGGTAGACCTTGTCCTGATGTGTCATGCCCTGGATGTGACCCTACTAAGGGAGTGGCCAAACAGCACCTCATGGCGGTGTGGTGCTTTTGTACCTATTAGGCTCTAGGTGTTAGACAGATTCTAGAGATGTCTTTTGGCCTAGCTCCGGGAGAGTGTTCACCCCAAGCTAAAGTTGGCACGACTGTGTGGCCAGCAACTTGGCTAGGGCTCCCCTTGGACCAGGAATCTCCACGTCTTAGATGAGCTCCAAGCAAAGTCGGCCAGAGCACAAGCTTTGCCTTTCTTGGCTCATCCCTTTGATATTGGGGACTCCTTCATGGGAGGACCATGTGCTGGCTGCCGAGTCATCTCTTGTTTGCTAGAGGGTGCGCACGAGCACACTCGATGGGTATAGCCCCCGATTCATTTAGAGAATCAGTCGGGGGGTTAGTTAGACTGCCATGTCCTTAACTAGGGACTTAACATGCCCATATGTTAGACTCTCGTCAGATAGTTGATGATTTCACAAGATTCATATGGGTTTTCTTTCTCACAGACAAGAATGAAGTCTTCAATATATTCAAGTCTTTTATCAAGAGAAGTGAGAATGAATTTGAATTAAGATCAAGAAAGTGAGTGACAATAGAAGTAAGTTTAGAAATACAAGGTTTGATGAGCTATGTGATGACATAGGTATCAAACATGAGTTTTCGACCAAGTACACTCCAGAATCAAATGGCCTTGTTGAGAGGAAGAATACACTCATTGATATGGCTAGGTCTATGCTTAGTGAGTATAATATGATTGATGCATTTTGGGTGGAGGCAATTAAAACCGCATGTCATGTTACAACCATTTATATTGTCGCTGTCTCTTGGAGAAGACCCCCTATGAGTTGCTTGTTGGAAGAAAGACCAATATTGCTTACTTTAGATTGTTTGGTTGCAAATGCTATATTCTCAAGAAGGGCACTCTCGGTTGAGCAAGTTTGAGAAGAAAGTTGATGAAGGATTCTTACTTGGGGTACTCCACTTGAAGAAAAACTTATAGAGTATAAAAAGACTCATGATATAGTGGAGGAAGTTCAGGATATTGAGTTTGATGAAACAAATGGTTCTCAAGTTGAAAATGAGAATATGGATGATGTGTGAGAGGTTCCAAGCTAGATGAAGCAATGAAAACATGGCAAATGGTGATGTAAGACCTAAAGGGGTGGTAGAGAAGATGATGATTCAACTAGAGCTATTCCTCCAACTATTGTGCAAAAAAAAAGATGAACCTAACATAGGTGACTCTCATGATGAAAGTCCAAGTCCAACAGGTGCAACATCAACAAGTGGCTAGTTCAACTCAAGTGGTTCAACCATGTCATCAACCGAGCTGAAGTGATCAAGTGCAAGTTGTTTAACCACTTGTGCATCAAGCTACCGCGAGGGGTCATTCATTGGATCAAATCACTACCCAGTTCTTCACATCACTGTCGGTTCAAAACCCCCTTCACTACCAGATTTTGAACCGATAGTGGCATACCGGCAGTGATGGGGGTTCACAACACTGCCGATTCCTACAAACCGCTAGTGATGCCTCTAGCTATCAGTGCTAGTATCTCACCTGACAGTGATAGGCTTTCAAAAAACAAAAAAAAGGAATACAACAAGCATGCTTCCTGCTTGCCAGAGCATACTCACTACCGCCTCCACCACTGCCACCGCCATGGTCGCTGGCTACCGCCTCCCTCCATCAAGCAGTTCATCCAAAAACAATTCATACATCACAGACAAAGGAGGGATTCGACACATGACAAATCAACTCATCCACAAATCGATTCGTACATCACAAAGTTGAAGGGTTCAATGCATCACAATCAACTCAACCACAAATTGATTCATACAACATAGAGAGAGGGGAGGGGAGGCCAAGAGGGGGAGAGAGTGGAGATGCCACCAAGCAGGACGAGCTTGGTCTTACGCCAAAGGCTGCGCCCCTCGCCGCTCCAACGCCAGATATGAGAAGACAGTGTGAGAGAGAGCACTGGGAAGGGGAGATTGCCGGGGAAAGAAAGAGTGAGAAAAGAGAAAGCACCATGATCCGGAGGTAGAAGAAGCCACCGGCGTTGATAGCTTGCCTGCGCAACTCCTGCTCGCCGACGTCAGAGTGGATCCACGCCAAGCCGCGCGGCCACGCTCCCACCGCGGTGGATCTGCGCTCCCGGCCTATGGCGGAGGAGATCCCAGCGGCTGACTGGGTGGTGCTCGGCGCCACACACATGAGGGCGCGGGTGCGGGTGTACGGGCGCGGGTGCGCTCATCAAGGAGGTGCAGGTGTGGGTGCACAGTAAGGTGGCGCGGCCAAAAGTGATGGCGCTGCTGGAATTGTGGCGCAGGCGCACGGCGAGGTAAGGTGCAAGACGAGTGGGCTCCGCATCCTTGGAGCGTGCCGACGGCCTCATCCGTGAGGACGAGATTTGGGGAGGAGGTGGTCTGGCGAGTTGGGGAGGAGCAGAGGAAATATCTCACAGATAGGAGCGAGGAGTTAACCAGGATGGATAAAAATTTCAGGTCCGAATCTATAGATCACTGCCGGGTTTGGTAATACAACCGACAGTGTAGACATCACTGTCGGATTTTTATACCAACCGGCAGTGATAATATCCATCAATGTCGGTTTGTTAGAAAATCCGGCAGTAACAGGCTTCTTTCATAAGAACCGACAATGATGTAACTATCATTGTCGGTTTTGAAATTCCGACAGTGATGGGGCCGGCAGTGATTTTTTTATTTTGTACTCCCTCTGTTCCAAGTTATAAGTCGGTTTAACTTTTTTGGTACATCTATTTTGTTATGCATCTAGATATAATAATATGTCTAGATACATAGCAAAATGGATGAACCAAAAAAGTCAAAGCGACTTATAATTTGGAACTGAGGGAGTAGTAATGAATCGTGGTTTACTTGATCAGAAGCAGTGTGCAAACAAGATCAAGGCTTGCATCCTAGTACTTATCTCTGCTAGCTGATGTATATAAAAATCAACATAAAACCCAACTCCTTCTGTGACAATATATAGCTAGTTATTTGGAACTACAAACAGGAGTATAAACGTACACGGCACTTCAGCCTCGTGCCATGCATCCATGCAAATGCAAAAAGCATGAGAACAAGAGAAGCTAGAAGAGAACTTCTTATTGACGTACACAGGTTGAAGAAGATCGGAAGGGATCCACATTATTCAGCAGTAGAAATGAAGACAACAACCATCTCTAACATACTAATTAACTACCCACAGCTAACACAGATCGAAATAACCCTGATCTGTAACTGTAAACTGGAGCCTACAGCTTGTACAGCCACGCAGATTGCACCGACGATAACACTGCTCCTGTTAATTGTTAAGCTGCCTCTGGGAGCCATACAATCTAGGCATGCAGTATTACATGTGTGCAGGTAGCCAAATCCTACGTCATCGTCACAATAATGTTTGCTGAATTTCCTGCACAAGCTCCTCCGCGCTAAGCTCGCACTCGATCCCAATCTGTCCACACAAAAATTAGAAAGGCAGGCAAGCATTGTCAGACAATTTTTTCAATTAATTTCTAAAGAGTAGATGGATGAATAGCAAGGTTCATATCTACGAGAGTCGAGAGTACATACATCCATGTATTCATGAAACTATATGCATGACAGCAACTACTTCCCAGCTGTACCATGACAGTAACATGCTGCCATGCATAGTTTGCACCAGCAGGCATCTGACCTCTAGATAGTTGTGTTACTGTTTGAGGATAAGGACCATGGCTCTGCTGGTTTATCTCTCTCACGCATGCACACTGTTGCTCAGGGGCACAGTACATTTCCTGAACCCAAATCAATACTACCCAACCCTGTTCACTATTTGTGCATATTGCACACCTCACAGTACTCACAGACTCCCAGACGACTCACAGTACTGTATGTATTCGAACTCTACAGTAGATATCTCCAGGTAGAAGCTAGCTAGCCTACATACACGCACTAGCTAGCTAGCGCTTCATGAAGAAACCAGTCGATTCGATCCGATCCATTTGAAAAATTGTTTGGGAGAGGAGCCCAGATGAGCTAAAGATGGCATATCCCATGCATATACATGCAGGCAAGGCTTGAAACAATAATGGTTGGATCAATGTTGCTTTTTTCATGGTTATTTCCCGGGGAGTTTGAATAGTAGGCTAGCTAGCTACATATAGAGCTCACATGAAATGAGGACATCCTAATACTACATACTGCTGCTCCCAATTGAATGCCAGCTCTCAAGCCTGGTCCATCCTTAATTCAGCAGTGTGAGTACGTGCCTTAAAAATGCACATATTAGGCCTTGTTTACTTCCCACCAAAAACTTTATAACCTGTGAATGTTTGGCACATACATGGAGTATTAAATATAGACTAAAAAATAATTAATTACACATATTGCGATTAATTTGCGAGACGAATCTTTTAAGCTTAATTTGTCCATGATTTGACAATAAAGTGCTACAGTAACACATGTACTAATGACGGATTAATTAGGCTTAATAAATTCGTCTCGTGATTTACTAACGGATTCTGTAATTTATTTTTTTTATTAGTATCCGAACACTCTATTGGACACCCCTATGTAATACCTGATGTGACACCCTAAAACTTTATACCCCTAAACAAAGCCTCAGTCTTGTTTGCTTCTTGTGACCAGATGTGCGTACGTAACATCATTCTGTCTGTCTTTTTAATACGTTGTATTAATATCGACATGTTGATTCTGTATGTTGAATTTAGCAATTTATTTGTTGTTATTAGATCTTATATATATATATATATATATATATATATCTATATATATATATATATATCTATATATGTATATATATGTATATATATATATGTATATATATATATATGTATATATATATATATATGTGTGTGTGTGTGGTAAGGCTATTTTGCAGCTGGCCATAGAATAACTTATTCTATAGCCACCTTGATTTACGATAATGTTTGTATCAATTTACGATAACATGAATATGCATTTACGATACTCGTGTTACTACGACTCTCGGATACTTAGTAATACCGAACCGTGTTCAGTATCAATCAGTACTACATCCAGTATCTCAAAATACTGAAAAATACTAAAACGTGACTACTGAACGGTACTAAATTTTGTTTAAGTATAACAGCTTGGTGTATGTACCTTGATGGTGAAGGAGTGCACCATGGTGTCGTCCACTGTGCTGACGCTGACGTGAAGGATCTCCAGCGAGAGACTCTCGAGTGCGGCGATGATCTTGAGCGCCTGCCCCGGCGCGCGGTGACACACCGTCTTCAGCACCAGGTTGGGCCCCGCAAACTCCACCTTCACGTCGGGGAGGGTGAGGCCGACCGCCGCTGGCCTGCAGCCTGCCTGCGCGGCGAGCTCGGTCACGAGGCTGTCTAAGGTCGGCAGGTACGTCGTCGTCTGCGTGGAGTAGTGCTGCTGCTGCTGATCGTGCGAGTAGGACGACGACGTCGACGTTGGCGTTATCGCCGAGGACGCGGCCATGTAGGCTGCAGCGGCCGGGTATGGGAGCCTGCAGCTTCCAGTTCCAGACGCGCCGGATGCAGCTGCAGGCTTGTACGGGCTGCCCGGGGTCGGTGTCCGGGGGCTTATGGGCACCGCGACACGCGGGCTGAGCGGCGGCGTGGACTTGACGACGGCGAGAGGCCGCGGGCTGGCTGCCGACGCGCTACCAGCAGGCCGCGGGCTCAGCACCTGCTCCACGTACGCCTTGCGGTGCTTCTTGGTCTCCAGCGAACGCAGCACCTGCTGAAGCTCCTTGATGTAGTCCACCACCCCGCCTATGATGGACGCTTGGTCTCCCTGCATGCAGTTCATTGATTGATGATGATCAACTGAGTAACATACTAACATGAGCATGCAGTTAACAGATAATTTATATCTCTCTCCATTTGGTCTCTCTAGCTATTTTGTCTCCCCTCTGATTGTTGTAAACAATTCCATGATGGTTCGTTCTTTGCTAGATTCTCTTAAACGGTGCATGTTTACTGGAGTACCCAAATATAATATACTCCTATATATATGCATTGTAGCTTGTTAACCTAGCTGTTTTTAGTTTTTTTACTGAACACAGCATCATGCATATCAATTATCACACACACCAGATTTGCAACCTATCACACTTCACAAGAAAACTACAAAAAGACAGAGTAGCATACATGCTACAGAGAAGAGAGGCAGGTCATCAAGTGCATCCATCGTCTATATGGACGATCGTACATCGTCCTTGCATGGACACATGCTGACATGCGCACTTCGTTCAGCGTGCATATATGGACACACACTACAGTGTCACACGCTGGCTTCTCATACAAAAAATAAAAAACAAACATGACGCGGTATTTTTCAGTTGGATTACTGCTGTTTTGTTCAAACCATGGAAGAAAAGCTTATTAGATTAAAAATCAAAGATAATGCGGTATCTTTGAGTTGGATTACTCCTGTTTTGTTCAAATCAAGCAAGGAAAAAAAAACTTATTAGATTGAAAAAAATGCAATGAAATTTCAAGTGTAGAAGTCAAGTGTAGAGATTTGCATGCGTAGAGATTTGCTGAAGTAGTACTTTTAGCAAGTCAAGTGTAGGAAGCATGACAAAAAGGAAGTAGTAGCGAATGCATGCTACTATATATTAAGACCATGTAGTAGACTAGTAGTAGACTTTTATAGCTTAGCTATAAGCAGTCTTACCCTCTTGACATAGAAGCAGGGCATGAGCGAGCGGAGCACGGCGAGGTGCCCGTTCATCTGCTTCCTCCGGTTGCGCTCCACCGTGATGTGTGACATCTTCGCCTCCCCCTCGTCAGCGGCTGCATCATCAGTCACCGCTGAACCCTTGCGCTTCTTCTGCACGGGAGCGCTGCCGCCACTGCCTTTGTCCTCGTCGCCCGTGCGCTTCCAGCTGTTCCCAGACGGCCTAGCCCCCACGGCGCCAGCAGTGGAGCTCTGGCTATATGCTAGCATAGCCGCAGAAGAACCACCTCCACCACCATCACCGGCGCCGCTCGTGCGCTCCTCCCACGTAGTCCCGATGATGCTGAAGAGGTCCTCAGCGCCCGACAGGCGGTGCCGGAGCTCGCAGTGGTCGTCGACCACGAGCTCGCACAGGCCGTCCCCCATTGATGGCCCGGCAGCAGGGAGGAAAGTGCAGTGCACGGCAAAGTAATATAAGCAGGCGGCGATAGCTACCTATGCACGTACTTGTCTCGATCGTGTTCTAAATATAGCCTCTGAATCTGATCATAGAAGAAGTGGTAGGAGAGGAAGTATGCAAAAAGTGAGAGGAACCTTTTGCTTGCTACTTTTATGCACGCACAGGCTCAAAAAAGTGAGAGGATCCGAGGAGAGAGAGACAAGAGTAGACCGTTGTTGCTGATCCTTTGTATAGTCATGTGAGAGCACCAAGAGTCATAAATATAGGGGAAGAGACGGCTCTAGATGGGGGAGCCTGTTCCACAGATACGGCGGCCACAACCCTAACTCTGGGACCTTCGTGATTCTCATGGGCCCTAGAGATGTCTCAAGGGTTTAATATGGTGCTGGACATGAAGGGATGTGGGATCAGTGTGTGAAAACTTAACTTAAAATAAACGCTAGAACCATCTTAGTTTTGTGGGTTTTTAGCTAGGGTAAATCCATGCATCTTACAACTGACTGTTCATTATGGACGTGATTCTTTTTATGTTGTAGCTGCTTGAAAGCATCATCTCTCAAGCCACAACAACAAAGTCTTCAAATAATAATTGAAGTTAGATTCTACCTAACATGATTAAAAAAACTCAAACACAACACAACAACTAATGAGCACTACGTGAAAACACGCATAAGTGACTAGCTAGTAAGTATGACATGTCACTAGCAACAAATTAATGGCCATTACAAAGACAATTTGATACTTATTTCGGTTTCAAACCAGGCTAGGAGATACAATCACTAATGATAGCTAAGGTAACTAGTGAAAGGTATTGATATCCCAGTCACTGTTAAATGCACTGACCGTTAATAATAACTACACTACAGGAAACGTCAAATTTGCCGAGTGTTTTTATGTTTGCCGAGTGTATTCTCTCGGGCACTCGGCAAACAAATTTTTTGCCGAGTGCTGCGCTAAAAACACTCGGTAAAGAGGAGGTTTGCCGAGTGTAAAAAAACACTCGGTAAACTCCCTGTTTGCCGAGTGTTTTTTTTACACTCGGCAAATAAATAAAATCTTTTTTCTGGGAAAGAAGGAGAAGAAAAAAAAATGAAAAAAAAACTTTGCTGAGTGCTCAGATGTAGGACACTTGGCAAAGGAAAAAATCTTTTTTCTGGGAAAGGAGAAGAAAAAAATGAAAAAAACTTTGCCGAGTGCCCAGATCTAGGACACTCGGCAAAGGAAAAAATCACTTAATCAACCGCCGTCGCCCCTCCCCTCCCTCCCTCCTCCTAGATCCGCCCGCCCACGCCGCTCCCCTCCCTCTCCCAGATCCGCCCGCCCGTGCCGCTCCCCTCCCTCCTCCCAGATCCGACCCCCCCTCCCTCAGCTCATCCCTCCCTCCTCCCAAATCCGCCCGCCCGCGCCGCCCCCCTCCCTCCCCTCCTCCGGTGCGCCCCTCCCCTCCCTCTCCGGCGTGGCCCCGCCCTTGCTTCGAGCGTGGGTCCAAGGCGTGGATCCGGCGTGAGCTCCTCTCCGGTGGCTTCCTTTAGCTCCATGGCCGGTCGCTGGCGTGAGCTCCTCTCCGGTGGCTTCCTCCGGTGATGCTTCGTCCCTTGCTCCATGGCAGGTCACCGGCGCGAGCTCCTCTCTAGTGAGAACGCAAGCCATCGTCGCCGGCGTGAGCTCCTTCCCCAGCGGGCGCTCAGGCCATCCTCGGCGACGCGCAGAGCCTCTGCCCCATCCTCGCCAGCCGGTGATTCAAGAGGAAGAAGAAGAGTTGTGTGGTGCGGGATCCGGTGGTGTCCCCGACGTGGCCCCTTCACACGGAGGCAAGCGGCACCCTGCCCTGGCACGGGCGCTTCCCCTGTGGGAGCGAGCTCTGGCCGCCCTGCCCTGTTGCGTGCTTTGGAGCCACTCGACGCAACGGCGGCCGGCCGACAACGATGGGGTTGCGGTGGTCGGTGTGGGTCCAAGGCATGGATCCGGCAACACTGCGGGGCGTGGTGGTGGTGGTGGTGGCGGCGGCGGGACTTGTTTTTTTTTTTCCGAAAAATATTTGCCGAGTGTTTTTTTTGGACTCGGCATAGTCTTTGTCGAGTGCCCAACGTTTGACACTCGGCAAACAGCTCTTTGCCGATAAAACCTTTGCCAAGTTTGCCGAGTGTTTTTGGGGCTTTGCCAAGTGCCCTTGGCACTCGGCAAAGCTTGTGTATCCCGTAGTGCTAGACCTATCACTTATGACTTTCTCATGTAAGTGATAGGTCTTCCTAACAAGCTCTAATTAAGGTGATGGGTCTTCAAATGATGGCACTTTTTATGAGATCATAAGTGACGATTTAGTGCTCATAACCGATGGTTTTAGTGCTAACCCAATATTAGCTCACCTTATCTATTTGCCTCATCATTGCGAAATTGGCTAATAGGAGTAAGTCCTAGAACCTTATCCACACTTCAACTATCTCTATGCCCTAGTGCTGACAATATTGCCTCCATAAGACTCCCTTCCACCTTGATGATGCCCTCCTCTTCCACTGCCATATTTTCTTCAATGATAGGTGCATGCTCGCTCCTCCACAATCACTAATGACAAAGTAACTAGTGGCAAGTGTTAGCATCACTTGTCATTTTAAATTTAATAAGATTAGTCACCTATGGCTCCCTAAAAATGACATTCTTCTAGGAAACTCTTAATGACCGATCAAAATGTAGCTTATCACTTTTTTTCAGATCATAAGTGACAATTTTAGTCCTAGCTTATCATTTTGACTCTATCCTATACACGGGAACCTTCCACTCACCTAGTCATGCATTTCAAAACCGGCTGTCCTAGCACATTATCAACTCAACCATATCACCACCATTCCATATACTACCTCCTTTCTTGTTGATGTTATCACCATCGCACCACCTTCCACATCAACAATAACCTAGCTCATCCTCCTCCATTTCTTTGATGACGTACATGTGCTTTCAACACTATCCTCCTTCTCCCCGATGAACTCCACCTTTGTGGCATAGTCCACTCCTATCCTTACCCCATCGATGTCATCCTCCTCCTTGGCGACCTTATCTTCCTAGATCACGCAATCCTCCTCCTTGCCACTGAAATGATCCCATGCCAGACTCCTCCTAGACAACCTCATTACTAGCCATGAGTGCACCCACACCTACTCCCACCCTTCCTCCTATGCTTGTGTGCCCTATGCCCCTATATGAATATATAGATGGGTGCTTGATGAATGTGTTGATGAAAATTAGTGTTATAATTTAGTCATTAGTTAGGAAATTATATATAAACTTTAGTTTGATATTTATATTTAGTTACAAATTGTAATTAGAAAATTTTCCTAGAAATTTAGCAAGAAAATTAGTTAGAGATATGGTGCAATCTATATCTTTGACTTTCTTGGTAATTTGGTAGTGGCCTCACTCTCCTTTAGAATCAACTACCAACAATTTCAACCACAAGTCAAATGAAAGAGTTTTTGTGCATGGTTCTCCTCATGGTTTTTGTGCACCTAGTGTGTAGGTGTTCAACATGATCATGTGACTACAAGCAGTGACCCTTGAATTATGTGGTAGTTAGTAGCTTTTGGCATAAAACACAATGGATAAAATAAACTCTCTGAAGTAGTTACATCTCTTTTGACATTGTAGATAAACTAATTTAGAATTTGATCATGAATCATCTTTAAGTATGATAGTGAAAGATTAGTCATGGAACGTCATCTAAAGAGCTTGAGAAGTATGGGTTTATTGTGCCCGACCCATCCTATTTTCGAATAAAAGCGCTTTAATAGGGTGCAACGCTAAACCATCACTCGGGATGAACATTAGTGATGGGTTATAACATTACTTCAACACCTTAATAATGGGTCATAGTCAGGGGTGGTGCCTCATGGAGGCGATACTAGTCTTCTGCCCCGCCTGCCTCCTCCTCCAACCCCTTAATCTGAAAGGAGGTTTTAATACCTATGCCCATCCATCAAATCTCCAAGATCTCCTCTCACATCAATCTTCTCTTGAGAAGCTAGAATGATAACTCTCTACATTGCATGCAACTTTATCATTATTTGCACCTTGGATTGCATGCTCCAATTTTTCTACATTTGCTCCCTGATTTTACGTCACGCTCCACTGCTAGTTATAGTTGTCACCCATCACTAAATTTAGTTACTATATATATTAGTGACATATGCCACTTTTGAATTTTCATCAATAATATGTTCGCGATGAAGGGTGCTACGACCGTTATATTACTATTGACGTTCTCTACCTATCATATTGACCCTCTTTTTTACGTTGTGAAGTGCATCTATGTTAGACAAAAGACGTGAGTGCAAATGAAACCACCAAGTCATAACAAAAATATTTTTTTTGGCTCCTTGTAGTAACATAAAAATCTAGTTCCATGATGTGTACCCCTCTGTCATCCCAAAAATGTATCCTTTTTGCTATTAATCTAGACATATGTTTGTCCAGATTCATAACAAAAATAACACTTTTTTTGGAACGGAGGGAATATGTGTTATGTTAATTATTAGACCAATGCTAAAGGGTGGCTTTGCCACATGTATATGCTATCTAGTACATGATTGTGTATGTGAGATCATCACTTGTAATTTTAGATTTGTGTGCAGTTGTTTTCCTTGTAAATGAATGAGTCTCCTTAAAACGCACTACTACAGAATAGCACTTCACTGCTGGTTCAAAACACCCCATCACTATCGGATTTTGAACCGGCACAACCATACCGGCAGTGATGAGGGTCCGCTATCACTGTCGGATCCTACAAACCGGCAATGTTCTTCAACTTCAATGTCGGTTCTTTACACAACCCGATAGAGTTTAGTTCCACCATCATTGCTGGTTCATGAGACCACCCGGCAGAGTTTAGTTCCACCAACACTGTCGGTTTGTGTTTGAACCGGCAGTGTTGTTGTAACTCAGCACTGCCGGTTTGTGACAAGAACCAGCAGTGATG